GAATAAAAAATAATATTATTGAAAGAAATTGTTAATTTTATAAAAATTCAACACATTTGTAATATTAATAAAATATAAAAAAATAACATTTAAAAATGCTCTATATTCATATAAATGCCTTAAATTATAAAAAAAAAAAAAAATATTATATTTTAACTCCATACCCAATTTTCAAAAAATAATAAAAAAACAGTTGAAACAAAATTCAATCAAAAAAACAACCCCTTTTTAATTCAATACAAAATAGCTTTTGGCCAATCAAAATTAGAATTAAAAAATAAAAAAATAATAAAAAAAAATAATTCAACATAAACTCTTACAAATTAACCACTTAAACAAATTATAAATAACATATAACCATTTCGAGCTTTATTACAAATTAACCACTTAAACAAATTATAAATAACCTATAACCATTTCGAGCTTTACTACAAATTAACCACTTAAACAAATTATAAATAACATATAACCATTTCGAGCTTTACTACAAATTAACCAATTAAACAAATTATAATTGGTTAAAAATTCAAAACTAAATATTTTTATAAATTGTCTCAATAATTTATGTAATTTAGGTATATTTAGAGTGAATAATACCCCAAACATCTTGAAAGATACAAAAATTTATCGGTGAATTACAAAAAAAAATTAATTATTAATTAATAAATTGTATTTTATAATATATATATATTTATATATATTGGTATATATATTTCTATATAAGTAACAAAAATAAATTACCAAAATCAAAAAATCAAAATTAAATTACCAAAATCAAATAATCAAAACTAAATTACCAAAATCAAATAATCAAAATTAAATAACTAAAAAAAAAAAAAATTTTAATATATTTAAAGCTCGAAATGGGTAGCAGTTAATATTTATTGCTACCCATTTCGAGCTTTAAATTAATAAAAGTCGTGTTAACTATTAATACAAAAATCAATTTATTTTTTAAAATTAACTGTTTATAAAAATATAATCCACATTCATATATTCTATTAAATTAAAAAAATTATTTATTTAATTTTTTTTTTTTTTTTTTGAATTAAATTGAAATTTTTTTTTTTAAATATAATAAACAATAAATTATAACAACCATTGGAAAAATATAAAGTTAATTAATAATAAAAAATGTTAAAAAATAAAAACTCTTTTTCAGTAAATATAAATAATATTAAATATAATTCTAATAATAAAATTGATAATCCATATTTATATGAAGGGGTAAATGGATATGTAGTGTATATACAAAATATATTAATACATATTGTTTTTAAAAGTAAACAAATTTACTTTGATCCGGTTACAACAATAGCCCAAATTTTATTTTATTTTATTAATAATAATATTTGTGATTTTAAAGATATAAATGAAAACAATATCCCAAAAAGTATGTTAATTATAAATAATAAAAAAGATGATTTATTATAAATAATAATAATTTTATTATTTTTATTTAAACTAATTTATTTATTTTTTCTAAATAATTATAGTTATTAAAAAAATCAATCATTATAAAAAATTTTATATTATTACAGATTGCTTCGCGGATGGTACACCCAAAAACTTCTTTTGTATGAATAATGAAGAGTTATCAGATATAAAGAGCTTTGACCACGATTTTGTAGCGGAATACAAAATACTATCAACAAATTATAATCATCTAAAAGATGGTTTTTTAATTAAAAATTTTAGTGGTTATTTCGAAATTCCAACTCCACCATTGAAAATTGAAGGAAATGAAGATCCGGAGTTTTCAAATATTAGCATTATTAAAAAAAAAGAACCGGAATGTTCAAATTATAATGAAATAAAAACTCAAATTTTGGAAAATATTGACAAAAGATTTCAAAAAAAAAACAAAAAAAATAATAATATGAATTGATAATAATAAAAAAAAAAATCACAAATTAAATAATAAAAAAATAAAAATAAATCTATATATTTTAAAAAAAAAAATCTTTATTTTATGGATCTAAAAAAAAATTTTATTTATTTTTAGTTTTATTTATTTTTTTATTTTTTTATTATATTTTTTTAATATAAATATAAAGAATATTATATTTATATTTCGAAATAAATCTTTATTTTATAGATCTAAAAAAAAATTTTATTTATTTTTAGTTTTATTTATTTTTTTATTATATTTTTTTAATATAAATATAAAGAATATTATATATATATTTCGAAATATATATATAATATTCTTTATTTTTATATTTATTATTTATTTATTTTTTATCTGAATTATATTTATTTATTACTTTAACATAATTTGAATTATTAATGAAACTCCAGATGGGTACATACCTTCTCACACAACCTACATTATCCACAGATATGGTTATCCAACAAAAATAAACAATACCTTTAGGTATACATAACCATTGGGTTTAAAACTTATAGGTAAAAACCTAGATAACCCATAACCATTTCGAGCTTTAGAAATCAGTACATATTCTGCAGGTACAAAGAATCAAGATGCCAAAAATATCACTAGGTAAATTTTATATTCAAACTGAACTGTATACCAAACAAACTAGGACAATTATCAGATGAAATCCAGAGAATACGTATTTAAAGTTAAAGCCAACAGTTATGCGGAATATAATTAATGTATATACAGGTCATTTGTTCCAAAAGAATCAAAAGATTCAAGCTCAAAGTTCAAATTTCAGAATACACTTGCAAAAACCTTGATCGATAGTTTTAAATTTCCGAAATCAAAGAACCATGATGAATATCTGTTAATAGTGGTATTAAAATTGAAAAAATTAAAAACAAAGAATCAGATGGCGAAAGAATATCACCAGGAGAATATTATATGCAAAGTGAGCTGTATACATTGATGTTCAATCAAAGTAAATGCAGAAGAGCTGATAGAGACTCAGAAAATTAAAAATTAAAAAATCAGTCAAAATTAAAATTAGTTATAAAATTAAATTAGATTTAAAAATAAAAAAAAGGAAAAAATAAATGGTTTGACCATCATCTATTTACCCAATTTCGATAAATATGATGATGGAATCAATTAAAAAATACAAAGAAAATAAAATTAAATAAAATTTTTTTATAAGTGTTATTAAAAATATATATATAAATATTATTTATTTCGAGTAAATTTAACAGCATCTTCTACGACGATGACCAATATCGATATCAATATTGATAATGTTAGTGTTACCACCACTGCATGGATTAAAACATGGAATGAAACCACATGAACTTCCACCACCTAAGCTATTGCCAAACCAAGAAGGATTATTATTACACTTCCAGATGAGCTTAACATTAATTTAGATGAGGCACCGTTAACTGGTTTAATTAATTAAATAGATTCTATATAAAAAATATAAAAAATAAATATGAATGTTAACATATATTATAAGGGGTTCTAAAATAGGTTAGTTTGATTTTTTAAAAAAAAAAAAAATAGTCCTACCAACCGCACCCCCCACAGCGCACCTATTTCAACCTTTTTTAAAACTATGTGTGCTATAAAAAATCAAAAAAAAAACTAAAAATAGAGGAAAAATTGAAAAAATTCATATAAAAAATAAAGCTCGAAATGGGTATTAACTGCGATCTGACAGGTAATTAACTGTAGGAATTAATGCCCTAACCCATGGGGTTTGATCCATGGGTAATTAATTTGTTTTTAACTATAACTACCCATATTAACCTAGGTTTTTAAAAATAATATTGGAAAAAAATAAAATAATTTATATATAACAAATACATAAAAAAAATAATTTTTTTGTAATAATAATTATAATATTTTATTTTTATAATAACTATAATAAATAATTTAGATCATTTCATATTTTTTAAACTATAAATCTTAAATAAAAAATTTTTTATTATAAAAATATTATTTTTTATTTTTTATTTTTTTTTATAATTTTTTTTTTTTATTATATTTTTATAATAACTATAATAAATAATTTAGATTTCATATTTTTTAAACTTTAAATCAAAAATAAAAAATATAAAAAAAAATAAAAAATAAAAAATAATATTTTTAAAATCTAAAATCTAAAAATTAAATTAAATAAAAAAAAATTAAATAAAAAAAAAATTTTTTTTATTTTTAATTTTATTTATTTTTAATTTTATTTTTTTTTAATTTTATATTTATTTATTTATTTTTTTTTTATTATATTTTATTTATTTTTAGTTTTATTTATTTTTTTATTTTTTTATTATATTTTTTTAATATAAATATAAAGAATATTATATATATATTTCGAAATGAATCTTTATTTTATAGATCTAAAAAAAAAATTTATTTATTTTTAGTTTTATTTATTTTTTTATTTTTTTATTATATTTTTTTAATATAAATATAAAGAATATTATCATATATATTTCGAAATATACATATAATATTCTTTATTTTTATATTTATTATTTATTCCCTTTCTTTATCTGCAATTATATTTA